GCAGTAAGCAGATGGATGGTACACATCAATTAGAATAATTTGAAATGAGTTTATTTACCAAGGGGCTATTTACAAAGATATGGGTGTAGAAGAATCGTGGGGTATACCATAGAAATCTAGGGCTTACCACAGAAAATTCCAAAGCTTTGAGATAGGTATTTTGCCAGCTTAGGGAACTGAAAATATTACAGGAGGGTGAAACAAACAAGGTGTGAAATGAAACCAGAGAGGTAGTCATGAGCAGATCACATTAAGGAACAGGGTCTTAATTTAAAGTTTTTATTTAAATTCCAGTTAGTTAACATTACAATGTAGTATTAGTTTCAGGTGTACAATATAGTGATAGAACAGTTCCATACAACGCCCAGTGCTCATCATAACAAGTGCCCTCCTTAACCCTCATCACCTGCTTAACCCATCCCGCCCATGCACCTCCATTCTGGTAACCATCAGTTTGTTCTTTGTAGTTAAGAGTCTGTTTCTTGGTTTTCCATCTGAAAGGAGAAGAAGGACCTATTAAATCAGGAAATGAATTGATGAGGTTTATATTCTAAAAGATCACTTTGCAATATTGAAGCAAATAAAAAGGAGCAAGAGTATGTGTTGGTAATCAATCAAGAGGCTTTCATAGCAGTTTCGTAGCATAGTAGTTTGGGATGGTGGAAATAGAGAATATGAATGGATTTGAGGAATATTTAGGGTAAAAATAAACTAGAATTTCTAAAACAAGCTATGTATGAAGAAGTGTCTGAGAAGATTCCTGAATTTTTTTGACTCATGTAAACGAATAAATGTTGATGCCAGTCATGGAAATAGGAAACTTTAGGATATCTGGTTTCATTCAGTTATTTAGATTTTGGACATGTTGATTATCAAGTGCCGATGAAATATCTATTTGGAGATGGTAGTTAGACTGTTTGTGATGCAAAATGAGATCTTAGAGAAGAGGTTGAAGATACAATTTAGGAATTGGGAGTAGCTTGAATAGTGTCTCCCAAAAAGTCACATCAACTCGGACCTCAGAATGTGACCTCATTTAGAAATGGGGTATTTATAGATGTAATTAGTTAAGAGGAGGTCATAGTGGAATAAGGTGGACCTTAAATCCAATGGTGAGTGTCCTTATAAGAAGAGGAGAGGAAGCAGAGAGACACAGAGGGAAGAAAGCCATGTGAAGACCGAGGCAGAAACTGGAGTGGTACGACTACAAGCCAAGAAGTGCCAAGGATTGCTAGCAACCACCAGAAGTTAGGAAGGAGCAAGGAACGGATTCTTCCCTGGGGCCTTCAGAGAGAGCATGGCCCAGCCCATACCTTGATTTCAGACTTCTAGCCTCCAGAACTGTAAGAGAATACCTTTCTGTTGTTTCAGGCTACCAAGTGTATAGGAATTTGTTACAGCAGCCCTAGGAAATTAATACAGGAATGGTTAGTGTATATTGAGGTATAAGTATGATTGTCTGGGGAAGCATAGAGATGGAGCAGAGGTTACACACCGGCTCTCACCCCCAGACTCATTCTGGGCAATTCTGACAGTTGTATTATGCCCAAATGATGCTTTAAATAGCAATAAGACTGGACAAATGAGATACTTAGTTACTATACAAATTGATTGGTACCTATTTTATTCTCTCTTGCTGCTTCGTACATTTATTTACCAACTGAAATCATTTCACTTTGAATCCTTCTTCAGAAAAGTTTGAAGGGGGGATAGGATTAATCCTTATGGACATTTCAGTAGACACAACATGACAAACTGTCAGGGGATATGAAGAGCATTAGGCCACAAATAAGAGGGTATGGTATCATGGAACCAGAGGGAGAGAATATTATAAAGGAGTATCAGAACCTCCTGAAAATCCACAGTAAGAAAATACACATTAGGTTTTGTCTCATAGATGCTAGTGGTAAGGGAAACGAGCTATCGGAGTGACATGGTTAGATGTGTCTATTTTAGAAAGATAATATTCCTCTTAATATAAAGGATGGACAAGACTAAAGGAAAGAGAAAAAGAGAATTAGTAAGTAGGTATTGCATTTGCCTAGTCAAGAGCTAATGAAGATTGAAGATGAAAAGGAGGCATAATTAAGAGGTTGTGTATATAAGAACTTGGGGATTAAAGGAAAGAATAATAGAAGATGGTTCTTAAGTTAAAACTTGCTTAATTAAGTGGATAATAATATTATTAACACAAGAAGGAAGAACTAGTAGAAGCTCTCCTTTTATGAGATTAATGGATTTCTAAAGCCAACAAAAAAGAAATGAGATAGAAGAAAAAAACAAGAGACTTCATCTTTTCCAAAATTATCATTTAAAGATAACCTGAAAGTGATCCTAGGGAAAAGCAACTGATACGGGTGGTTAAAGCTCAGTTTGACTAGATTTAAATGTATGAACACAGTTAAATAGGAGATTAGTACATAACAATAGAAACCCGAACTCTGTGACTTGGATTCAGAACATAGAAGTGAGCCTCCTTCTTCACTGCAGTCAGAATGAAGCTGCTGAAATAGATTCCAAAGATAATATTGAACCTGTACATGAAAGGCTTTGTTTGACTTTGAGGATGTCCTGCCTTTGTATTAGTTGTTTGCATTTACTTTTAAAGAATGAGCAGAGCTGTGAGGCCACCATGACCTCAACCACAGAGGAAACTGTGATGTAGATTCAGAAAACTTCAAGGAGATTCCACAACCACCAGGTGTCCAAAGGAAGGAGGCTTTGATGGGATTATACATAACCCTGAACCAAGGCTGGCAATTCCTATAAACTATAAGAGCTCTAGGATCTTAGGTGTTTTGGCCAGAGATTCAGGGAGCCGTATACATCGAGTAAGATTGCCCTTCTGCCATCACAGTTATGTAGGGTTGGAGAGGAAGCTCCCTTATACACAAAAACTACCCTTCTATAGGCCTTTATTATAGTGGAAAAGAATAGCTTTATGTGCCCTTAGGAACACCATGTCCTTTCTCTACCCTCATCACCTTCATCAGTACAAGTTAGTGAACATGCAGTAAGACCTGCTTTTTCTAGTCTTCATTTTTCTAACGACAGCCCCATGTGCTCAGAAGCCTCCGCTGTTGGCTTCCATATTTATGTCATCTGAAATCAAGAGGGATACCAGGGGTCCTATGTATCCCTGCCTTCATCTTCTCTTTATTACTAGCCATCTGGGAATCCCAGAACTCAGTATTCCGCTGAATAATTCCCACCCATCTTCCCCCTACCACACACTCACCGCTTCACCACTGTCTTTCTAGGGCCTGCCAGGACTAATCCCATCATTGAGATCACTGTCACAAGGAATGAGAGAATGGTTGGAGAAAGGGAAGATATAGCTATTTTATTGGTTAGCACCTTTCCTAACTATTGTGAATAAAATAGCACAAACCCATCTCTCTAGCCCCTTACCCTTTACAGTAAGATCTAGATATTTCTCTTTTTGGTTATAAGAAGAAAAAAAACACCTTACAGTAATTCTTTTATTTAGTGGTAATCATGTCTCAGTAAAATTATAAAGCCTTAAATAAAACTCAAACTGCTATTTCAAGTCATCTTGGAACTAGAGGAAGTAGTCCAAGGGTCCCCAGGACCTGGATGGGCTTCAAGGGCTCCACAAGTTCTGTGAATGTGTAATTGAAATTGTTTATGTAGCTTGGTGGTTAAAGAGTATGGCCTCTGGAGTCAGATTGCCTCTGTTTAAATCCTACCCCACCATGTGCTAGATTTTGCAATTTAGGCAATTTACTTAACCTGCCTGTGCTTAGTTTCCCCTAGCTAAGCCATGAGAATAATAGTGTACCTACTTCATAGAGTTGCTGTAGGGACTAGTTAGTTAATACATTTAAAGCACTTACAGTAGTGCCTCACAATATTAAGTGCTGTATAAACACTAGCATTATTATTATTTATATTCCCAGGGAAAGGTCCGTATCTTCCAACTGATTATCAGTAAGGTCTATTATAAATTTTAATTTACGAACTGAAAGAAACCACTTTCACAGGCATATGATCTGCATGAAATTTAAACTTTCACTGTTTGAATCAAAAGTCATCTGAGCCTTCACAGCAGAAAAATTTACCTAGTGGATTCTACTTCAGTAATATTTTCTTTTTATTTTTTTAACAATATTTTCTTTTAAAGTGTTTCTATGTTTTCAAGGTTTTGATTCTATTTTTACTTTTTAACCTAATATAAAATTTGTATTTTTCTTTAAATTGTCACAGTCTTGATAAAATTTAAGCTCATTTTTTAGGATTCAATTTAAAAAAGAAATTTGTTTTCCTTTTCAAAATCCCTGTGTAATTAATAGTTCTGCATTAAGGGTTTGAACATCAGCAAATTGCATATGCAACTCTGTAAGTGAGTTAGACAAAAGATATGTGATTAAGCAGTGAATGTTGATTTTTGTTGTTGTTACTTAAACCATATATGCAATTGAGCCAGATTGGATCACAATTGAAAATATTGCAGCCTGTTAATAAAATGAAAAAGAAGAGCTTATACAGCTGTTCTTTTCCTGGAAAGTGAATATAGTGGCTGAAAAAAAAATTGAGGCTTCATCGTTATTAGGGATGAATTAATATTGTTCTATAATAAATTACCAAATGTCATTTAATAAATCATTTTTTTTAGAAATCTAATCAGGTCAGCAGTAAATGTCCAGTATCTCATTACTTATTTCCTATAGTTACACTGAACATGAAGAGTACTTCCATTTTAAATTGCTTTTGCTAAATCTTAGAAAAATAATTTTTCCAATTTGGTTAGTATCAGACCTAAAGCTTAAACACAAAACAGCTGTTGTTGAAAATACCACTTTCATAACATTAATATGCTTTCAATTAACAGATTGGTATGAACTGTTAAACATTACTACCTCCATGTTTAACTACTGTTTGACTCTCAATGACTGCTTTTCTTTCTTAATAGATTGTTTACTTTAACTGAAAGAGGAAGAATCTTATTTAAATAATCCATATTTTTCTCCCATCTGCAGAAAGTACCCAAGAAAAGTGGGGATTTCCAATGTGCCAGTACTTAAAGGAAGAGAGATGGTGCTGTGGTCGTAATGCCAGAATGTCAGCATGTTTGGTATGATTATATTTTTTTCTGAACTAAGCTTTATCCAGATGTTGCAGAATTTATTATTGTTGGCTAATATCATGAATTAAATGCCAGGTTTTGCAGAGCATCATTATTAATGCTTTTGTGCATTGCAAATTTTAAGAAAAAAATGACTTGCCCTTCCAACATTATCTACTACTTTACATGCATTGTGGTAATAAGCAGGACACATGTCATCTTTATGATGAAGCCCACAATTAGCAGTCCTCACTCATGAGCATAATACTTGTAATCAGGTTTATGATACCCCCATTTTAATTATCAGCAGACAGCCAAGAATCACTAGATACCTAAAGAAAGTCCAACGTGAAAGAACAGAGATCAGATAAGCAGAAGAAAAGCACCTTGGAGGAAGTGGAGACGATACAAAATAAAATAAAATAATGTAAAATAGCTATTAATATCCCTTAGATAAAAGAATATACTGCATTCATAAAACAAAAGTGGTTGCTATGAAAATAAACATTCAAAGAAACAAAAAGAAGCATTTTTGAAAAATAAATTTCAAAGAATATAGAATTTATAGACCACACTGCACTTAATAACTTTTCCTGACCACTGTCAGCTTCCTGTGGAATGACCCTCTCCTTGGCTCTATCCCAGTCCCTGGCTACCTTGGCTTCTTTTTTGGAGGCTAAGGAACATTTTTTTTTGTGCATTTTTTATTGCCTTTTGTTCCATACCTGACCTTTTCCACAAATAATCAAAGCCTTAGTGGTTAAAAAAGGAGAAAGAGACCTTTCTGGTGATGCTTTCAGATAAATTGTTAAGGGTACTAACCAGAGATAAAATTTTAATTAGATTAATACAATCTTGTCAGCATACTTTAACCCTGATAAAACTGCAGAATATTTTAGATTAGTATGACATGAACACTTGGTTTATTTTCTTCATTATCTTTATTTATTGGCCAAGAAAAATACTGATCTTTGCAAGAAACTTCTTATCACCTACCTGGTTATCTTTTATTATGTCATCCTAATTTATCATTTGTATTTCTAAATCCCTCATCAGCAACACATACTAAAAGTAGTCTTGTTCTGTTGAATCACAGATCTGTACCTCTGAAACAAATAATGCAATATATGTTAAGAAAAAAAAAAAGATAGCAGGAGGGGAAGAATGAAGGGGGGTAAAATGGAGGGGGAGACGACCCATGAGAGACGATGGACTCTGAAAAACAAACTGAGGGTTCTATAGGGGAGGGGGGTGGGGGGATGGGTTAGTCTGGTGATGGGTATTAAAGAGGGCACGTTCTGCGTGGAGCACTGGGTGTTATGCACAATGAATCAAGGAACACTACATCACAACTAATGATGTAATGTATGGTGATTAACACAACAATAAAAAAAAATAAAAGTAGTCTTGTTATTGACTACTTTTAACTAGTTATACTTACCTAAAAGCAGATACTTTTATCAACACCAAGCAACTTCTTAAAAATTCTTGTTTCTTTATTCAGTTCAATCTTTTAGCAAAAGCCATAACACAAAAATCTAATCTGAAATGAGCACAAACAGTACTGTAAATGAAAATCAATGTTTTCTTCAATAATAAATTTATTCTGGGCCTGTTGCTATTTAATTTAATATGAAAATTATATAATATCTTTCTCCTGTATTCATAAATCTGTGGCTTTAAATGTTCAGTGAAGGTATCCTTCAAGTCAATGGAAAAATTGCAGTTTTTTTCTTCAAACACTTTCTGTGAAGCAACTTGTTATACAGTGAACTCATTTTTCCCACTAAATCTTCATGGTGTGAGGACAGGAGAAGTTAATCAGGGTTCATAGAACAAAGTTTTACTTCCTGCTCACTTGCTAACTAGCTGTACAACTTGTGGCAAGTACTTTATATTGTCACTGAGCTTGTGTAGCTGAAAAAATTGTACTTATATAGGATAATCTCTAAATTACCATTACAATCTCTAAATTACAAATTTAGAAGTATATGATTCAGCTATATCTAACAAGTATATGATTATGAAGAACAGCAATCTAAAGCAAATATGAGTATTTTAAAATGGAATAGGAGGTATATGCAGATCTATTATATTTTACTTCTTTGTGTTTGAAGTATTTTGATTAAAATTTAAAAAATAAAAATATTAAAATATTAAAATTTTTAATGTAATTCAGTTATAAATAAGCTGTTTATATAAATACATTTATTTATTTATTTATAAATTTATATAAATATAAACTATGTAAGTATGGAAATTTATGTCTCTTAAAAAATGAAAGTCTTTGAAGCCTCTATTCCATATTTAAATTATGGCAAATCTTTCATATATACCTTTCATATATGTTGGATTATGAGTATTTACTAGAAATATTAGGAAATATTTTCTAAAAATGTTCTGGATCTTAAATAAATATAAATATAAAAACTAGCTATGTATAAAATTATAAAAATATGTATTACTTTCTCTTCTGGGCACTTGATCATACGTGAATTTGATTTGAATTTGCAGACCAGGCAGATCAAAACTATACATACTTTTCTAAACTAAGTTTTCAGATACAATCTGTTCAATATTACCTTGTATAATAAAATATGAAGCTACATTTATAAAAAATAAGATGAAAATAAGTTAAAAGTTGTATATATACACACATAATAATAGATTTGGGTTAAAAAATAATAGTTTTGGATTTATTTGATTGTTTTAGCTAAACTAAAAGTGAGCCAAGAGCACGTTATTTCATTTCTTTTGTTTTCTTATTTTTTCTAAAATTCAAGGAGTATATACAGTTGAGGTATGTTTGTGCTTGTGTACATGACACACATCTATTATAAATCAACCCTACATTATACAAGTATACTGGTTAACATTCCTTAATGATACTAACACTTATAAATGTATAAAGTTACATGTTATCAATTAATCTTTTTAAATGTCACTTTTATAAGCCCTTATACAGTGTGTTTATAGTCTTATAAGGTAAGACTAAATATATGAGCAGTCTCTGTCTTATCTTTTTCTCTTTATTTTTTCTCCAAAGGCATTGGAAAGAGTTGCAGTTGGCCAAGGGGTAAGAAAGAATGTTTACTCTAATATAGCAGATGGACATGATGGTTTCTTAAAGTACTGTTCGTACTTGACCTGCTGATGAACTTAAAACCTGATGGCTTTTAATAAATATCACCTCTTCCTATTCAAATTTATACATTTTCTGTGTTTACTTTAAAAGAGAAGTGAACTTTCAGAAAAAGTAAATTGAACTTTTAAGAAAACTTCTACATTATTTTCTTGTACTAATGTCTCATTTCTTCATAATATACTAAACAGTCTATAAATATTTCTAAAGACTGCTGTTGCTGACTATTAGGTTTTTATGGACTTAATTCAAGCAGAGATAAACATGAATAGCATTCAGTTTATTTTTTACCTATAGTCCAAAACACATTTTGTTGTTGTTTTTTTAACTTTTTTTCCTTATTTTACTTGATTAGTCATTAGTTGAAATAGCCAAATGGCTTGCACATACAAACAGAAGTTAAATGTATCCCCAAAATATCCGTGTAATTGCCTTATCCTCTACCTTATAATTCATGAAACATATTGGGAATTTCTAAAAAATTTTTAAGAATTCTTTTTAAGCCTTTCACAAGATTTTTCTTGTTAGACCTAAATTTTAGAAATCTCTTTTTTGCTTTTTTTTTTAAGGAACATTAATATGTCAATTTGAATTTTTAAAAATAATAATTTGAAAATGACAATAGCAACAAATATCATTTACTGAGTATTTACTGGGCCAGGCATGATGCTAAGAACTTTCTTTAAAAAATGTATGTATTGGGGGTGCTGGGGTGGCTCAGTCGTTGGGCGTCTGCCTTCGGCTCGGGTCATGGTCCCAGAGTCCTGGGATCGAGCCTCACATCGGGCTCCCTGCTCGGTGGGGAGTTTGCTTCTTCTTCTCTCTCCCCCCTGCTTGTGTTCCCTCTCTTGCTGTGTCTCTCTCTCTCTCTCTCTCTGTCAAATAAATAAATACAATCTTTAAAAAAAATAAAAGATAAATCTCTAGAAACTCTTATCAATGGAAAAGATAAAGACTTAACTCTGCATAACAACCATAATCTCATTAAAAAAATGTATTCATTGTACCTATCTAAAAGTTGATAAAAACTGATTTATTAAAGGCATTAGAACATATTGTTTAGGTGTGTCGGCTTTAGTCTCAAACCCCTGGTTTGCAGTTAACAGCTATATTGCATATCAACCTAGTGGTTCCCTAGGGATATGGAAGACGAAAGAGCTTTTATCATAATGTTCCTGTGCATTTTTGTGGTGTTTTTCAATTTCCCAAGTGCTTACTCGTGTTTACAGTCAATCTTATAAGTTGGGTATTATCCCAAACTTACATGAGAACATGATACACAGCAGAACAGCAGAAGTTTAATAGTGCATTCTAGCTCCCTTAATTAATTGCAGAGTACTGACTTCCCGCTTAGTGCCCTTTCCACTAGACCTGTAAAATGCATGCCTAAGACAATAAACTTGAAGGGTGTGCTCTTTTTGCTCCCTCCCATTTAAAATGCGTTAAAGTGTTAAGTTGATTTATCACTTGTGAAGGAAAGTAAACTCTGAGCCACATCCAATGTACTCTTGGAATGGTCAGACAGACAGTGCTGGGGAGCTGTTGATTCCCTTCTCACTTAGCCCAGCACGTATTTACCAGGATGGATAGTCCTACTTACTCCAGGAATGCGCATTTGAGGGTACTCGTAACTCTCCTCCCTTTCTCCTAGAAACAGCTGTAAAGCTCTTCCTGACTCAGGATAACTTGGGAACGATGATTTATTCTGTCCCGTTTGTATTTCTGTATGCAATCTCGTTTAAATGCATTTCTTGTTTTTTTTTCTTTTTGTCATCTTTGACCAGTTTTTAATAACAATATAAATATACATTTATTTCCAAATTATCTTGATACCATTTATATAATTTTTCTCAAAGGCAGGGAATGGAAAGCTTTATTTTTAAGAGTTTTTTGGTTTTTGTTTTTAGAGAGAGAGAGAGCAGAGAGAAGGGGAGAGGGAGAAAAAGAATCCTTAAGCAGACTCCCCACTGAGCATGGAGCTGGACACGGGGCTTAATTCCAAGATCCTGAGATCATGACCTGAGCAGAAGTCAAGAGTCAGTCCCTTAACCAACTGAGCCACCCAGGCACACCATATTTTTAAGAGTTTTTTTCCCTAAGTGAAGTACATCATAAAACTAATGATACCTCATCCCTGCCCAAGTGTCCAAGAGGCAAAATAGCATTATGGCTTGGTACAGGGACATCTGAGCTAGGCTTCTTCGGTTCAGATACCAGCTCTATTTTTAGAATTTCATATAAAATTTACATAAAATTAAACTTCCTATTTATTATATAGCTTAACCAAATAAAAAATTAAGAACTTTGTAAGCATTTATAATACGAATGCTAATATTTTACTTCATGTAATAATATATTTCCCAGAATGCCTTGAATTTCAATAGAACAATAGGTGTTAATTTATGAAAGGGGATTTCAGCATTTTTGTGAGAAAACTGAAGGGATTTGGGGAAAAGTGAGAGACAGATGATAGAAATTTTTAGAACTGCAAAAAAGAATTACTCAAATGGAAAAATGCCAAATGAAAGTATATCCAGAGATGGGAAATTTAGAATGAAATGTTTTGGAAACAGTCTTCCAGAAAAAAAGTTCAGAAATCAGTTTGTCTTAAGTCAAGGAGTTGTATTTAGAAAGACATATTATATAAGAAGTGTGTCTTTTGAAGGTTATAAATTTTACTGTGGGCACTCAAGTATGTATGTATATCTGCTGTCAGTACATTATTTTAGGAGCTGAATTGGGGACTGTGGTATTCCTAACACCATTTCTGACTAGAATCACCCTCCCCACTATTCCCACCATCCAGAAAGGATATAATGTGTGTTCTTTCCAAGTGTTCTATCAAGATCCTGCAAGTCAGACATTGTCCAGTGACTTAAGAAGGCAATGCCATTAGGTGAAGACCCAAGAAATAATGGTTGACCCTCAACTCCCAATTTGTGTTTTTTTGTAGTTTCAGCACCAGGGGCCCACAGTGTAGGAACTTGCGGTCAGATGAGGATAGGAGCAGTAGAGTTAAGTTTTCTGCCTGAGCACACAGGCAAGATTTTATTTTGTGCTAAACTCCATCTGAATCCAAACATATTTTAGTTGAAAACAGATGAAAATAACAATTCTGTGCTAAGAAGGAGAATAAAAGTTACAAAAGGATAACTCAGGGAATATATACAGTCTACTGACCTCTGTCTTTAAAACTTTACCAGTCACTGCATAGTTTGGAGTTTTCACCTTATTAGATTTTTCAGAACCATTCAATATTGTTGACCTCCCGCTACTCTGGCTCATTTTTCTTTCCCCTTTTTTTTTTTTTTTCTTTTCATTAGTAACTTGGCGTGGAACCAGGGTTGTTGCTGATAATATTTGATATCTCATGTTAGATTTATTTACACTGTCAATATTAAGAGGTTTCTGGGGATGTGGATGGAATTTGGGTGACTTCTGTAGTTTCTTAGCTTGATTACCACTTCCATTGTTTCAGTGAAGAGTTTTATTTTATGTGTCGTACTTTTTTTTAACCTTCTACTTCTTCAAAATGATGTTTCACTGGGGCCTTTCTCTTCAGCCATACCTTCTTTCCTTTGGAAAGCGTTCATGGATACCTGATCCTATGTCCTTTCTAAAAGACAAAAAGCATGTCCTTTTCAACTCAACAGTAGCCAATGCTATGATCTTTTAGACCTCAGACATATTTTTAGAATGTCCTTAGAATAGTACCTTCTCTTTCCAGGTGTGAATCCTAAGTGGATACTATCTCTGTTCCACCGCCATTAGGACAAATCCACGTTTTCTTCTCTTTTGCACGTATTCTACCTGGTTGCTCTCTTAGAGGCTCCAGAGCTGATTTGACTGGTTATGAAAGTTTATTTCCACATTTTAAATTGAACGGCACTCCATTTGGGACATTAGCTCATTTTTCTTTGATTTTGCTTTTTCTTCCTCATTCACTGCCATTTCTCTTATAGTTTCTTCTATTTTCATGCAGAATATGTTCTCAGTGAATATTAGCCTCGGGGTTTTAATGTAACTTAAAATGGAAAAATTTTTAAAGTGTCCTCTATGTTTTGTAACAAAGTCAGGTTTCTAACATTCACGTATGGTCCTGACTCTCTAGTATTGATTCGATTTATGTTTTTTGTTTCTTGTGCTCATATATATCTACATTTTTTTCAGCTGCCTACTGAATCACTCTTCTATCGAGCCGTCCTTCAGGATATTATTAAAGAATGTTATGGCATCACCAAATGGTATGAGAATTTTAATAATAACTATGTTGTCTTGTAAATGAAATGATTTTTAGCCCAGATGTATTTATTCAGGGTCACTGTTACTGTTGGAAGAAGCTTTGAATTTGAGCATAATGTCAGTAGTAACAAGTATGCAGCAACTGTATCTTAGCTTAATCATTTTTAAAGTGGGGGCGCTAATGATTCCTTTTTGTCTGGAGGAGTTAGTGTAATGGTAAAGTAGTCTGTGTCAATTGTAATTTAGAATTTTAGGAGCATTGAAATGTTATATACAATTCAGTGACTTAGCATATGAACAAGAGTTATATTTAAAATGTTTTACAACCAATACAGCTTAAACTCTTAGCTAATGAGAACAGAAATTGATCATAAACAATTGTGGCCATTGTATTACTGGTAAAATAGTAGCCCTGCATATGTTTTTTTTTTTTTCCAAATAATGCATTATATAGACAGAGAGGCAGAGATGGGAGAATTTTTCCATAATATTGGTTCAGTAACTGCTATACTCAAGCTTACATTCACATTTCTGGCAAGTTTCATGAATATCCTCTTGCTAATTACAATTTTAGGATTCTGATAGCCATTTGGTTGTAATAGGATTATTCTTCAAGTTAAAAGAGGACAATTTTAAGGTTCTCAAAAACAAATCCACACTTACTAACAGATAGAAACTATTTTTGGATTTGTTATTATTTCTCTGTAAGAGAGAAAATAACCATTTTTTTACTGATAGAAATTATGACATATAAATACTACATATACCATTGTTTTAAACTGTCATTTCTGTGTAGATAACTCCCAGATCTGGTTGCAGACTCCATTCTCTTTTCCATGTTTGCCAATCTTCAGAATTGTCTACAAGTGAATTTCTCATACTTTCCTGAAAAGTAGTTCCCTCTCTTGAGTTCACCACAAGATACTAACCTGGTGGAAAAAAGTCACATAATTTTGCAAATTTATGTCCACTCAAATATTGACTGCCTGCCTCTTTTGAGACTTCAAATCTCTTTATAAATTTTTTTATTCCTCTAATGACAACTTAAAATTGTCTCCATTCTTTTCTGAATCTTTCTTCTCACTTAAAAATTAAACACCCTCCAGCCCTCCATGTTCCTGCCTTCTTTTACTACTCAGAAGATAGATGGTATGTATGTATTATAGACTTCTTTCATTCCAGAGCCTGATTGACCTTTCAGCCACATTTGACCATTTAACAGTTGTTTTTTTTCTCCCAACTCTTGTCTTCCTTCTCTTCCCTTAAGTTGCATTCTGAGTTTCTTTTTCCTACTGTGCATAGCCTTCTATTTACTGAAAGGTTCTTCCTCTTCCTCACCTCCTACATATAGTTAGACGTTCTCTAATATTTTTATATTCAGCTCCTTTCTCTTAATATTTCCTTTCTCTTAGGAATTACCCTCACAACTGATACCTGGAATCAGGTATCCATTCCCACTGCTTTCACTTAAGTAACTTACCGATACATCAAATTCAGCATATCCAAAAACCAAAGTCAACTTCCCACCAATTCTACTCCTCTTTCTTTCTTCTCTTGACTTCTTTTATTAAACCTAGGAATGCCATGACCATTTCTAAAGTCAAGCTTTAGAAATCTTAGTTATATTTAATTTTATTCTTCTTCCATCATCAGGCCACATATTCTCATTAGTTGCCAAGACTTACACATTGTTATTTTTTCAATCCAGGAATTAATTTATTGCATGACAGGCAGCCTGTTAGGTTCTGGATGCATAGGATATATTGTCGACACAGAAATATTTTATATTCTAGTCAGGATAGCATGTGCAAAAAACAGACAGTGATAGAAACCCATTTCCAATAACGGCAGACTAGATCATTAGAACCAGCCCTCCTTCTGAGAAAAGTGAAAAACATGGAAGGTGTGTGTGTGTTTGTGTACGCATGTGTGCGTATTTGTTTTTAATTGGTTTGAGAACATCAGAGACCTATCAAGAAAGTTAAGAATTACAGGGCAGGGAGTGATTTCACCAAGATAACAACATAGGTTGTTCCTGACTTTGCACACCCCCCCCCCACAAGAACAACTAACAGCTATTAAAAAACAAGACACCACTTTAAGAATCCAGGAACATGGGGGTGAGGCTTTTGCACCTTCCTCTACCTCAGAGACCAAGATAGACTTCATCAGAAGGGTAAGAGAAGCAACTACATGTTGACCACATTGCTTCTCCCTTCAGGCCAGTGCAGCAGCACATGGAAAAGAACCCAGGGAGCAGAGCTACCCCACCAACGTTGGGGGTTACTTTACGAAAGCCCGTACTCTGATCTTGCCCCAGAGTTATTGCAGGGAAGTCTGTGGGGCTCAACCACTGAGAATCTGACTGGGATGGAGGAGAGGGAAGGGGCTTGAAATAATCAGTACATGGATATTGGCAGACCAAATTCATACCTGTAGTGCCCAACTAATAATCCCAACTGGTGGATTTGCTCATCTGCAAAACCAAGTCAGGGGCTCAATCTGACCAGGAAACTCAGTGGGGTGCACATCTGACTGATTCAGATCCTCAAATGAGGAGTTTTGCCATCCCTAGAGCCTGGTTGGCTCCACTCCCAATCAGGGAGCTGAGTCACAGCGCCACCCACTGTTGAGAGTATCTTCTGGTCCCATCTGAGCATAAGCATTGGTGACAACTTCTGGAAGCTCAGTGGCACTCCAGCCAGGAGGCAGGCTAGCAGAGCTGATCAGCCCCAGAGCAAATCCAGTACCAAGTATGAAGGATTGTTTTATTATGCACAGGCAGGAAGATTAATTCATAGGCAAGGGTGGAGGTAGCTCTCAGCCCTTCCCAACCAGAGAGCCTATTTGGGAAATAGGAGAATATTGGAAAATTTTTAGAGTAGCCGGAAGTAGCCTCTTCCCTCCTGCCCAGTTAAGGGAGCTGACACATAACACCACTGTGGAATGTGTCTTTTAGCCCATCTGACCAGAAGGGCTGGCAACAACTCCTGGAAGGTGTGTGGTCCAGCAATGCCTGAGTCTAGAGAAAGGCAAAGCCAGTAGTTTACAAAGCAAAGCCAATGGCCCTCTTCAGCTAGGAAACTTGGGGTGCAGGTTGGCTTGAGTTAAGACAACAAAGAGCTTTCCCAACTTCAGAGAGCACCGAATCCTAACCACTAGACCCCAGGGAGCGCCAGAGCTCTCCAGCTTTAGAGTTGCTTCTCTCACTGCACCTGGGCAAGGAATCTAATTCATAGACCCACTCATTACTGAATACAGCCTTCAGCCTGTACAACCAGGGAACCTAACCAGAACACACAGGAAGCTGCATTGCCCATTCAACAGCCCTACTTATAGTAGCACTTGAACAGAGAGCACTGCCCATGTCATCCCTTATCTGCAGAACAAAACCAGTGATGTCACCTGACCAGGGAATTCTGTGCACACTCTGGCCTGATTTGGGTCCCCAAACAATGAGCTATATAGGCCCTGGGTCTTATCCTGCTTCCCTGCCACAGCAAGGAAGTTAATTCATAGCCCCATATACTACTTAATATAGTACTGAGTACTAACCATCTAGTAAGCATGACTAGAGAATCCAGGCAATCATGGAATCCATTCCACAGGCTCATTCAAGTAGAGAACCAAGCCAACATTCCTATCCAACTATTCTCAACCAGAGGCACACTCCCCATCCCCATCCTCAGAGCTTGAACGGTTGCCTCACCCCAAAATAGACCATAATAGTCCCTGCTACCTGTGGATGTTAGCAGTAGACAAACCCAGAAACCCAAATTGAGCTGACTGGTAAAAAAACAGTCTCTATCAAAGAAAACTTATAAAGTCTGAAAGAGGAGCCCAGTTACTCTGGTGCTCAAATAACAACATAAGGAATCAAGGATCATGAAAAATCAGATAAATAATGCCACCAAAGGAAACTAATGAAGTTCTAATAACTGATCTTAAAGAAATGGAGATCTAAGAATTGTCAAAGAATTCAAAGTAATCCTCTTAAGGAAATTTAGTGACCTGCAAGAAAACACAAACAAAATTCAGAAAACAATGCATGAACAAAATGAGAATTTTGACAAGGAAAAAGCAGCCATCCAAAAAAAAAAAAAAAAATCCTAGAGTTGAAAAGTACAGTTGACCCTTGAGCAACATGGGTTTGAACTGCACAGATTCACTTATACACAGATTTTTTTTTTGATAAATGCAGTACAATACTGTAAATGTATGTTCCTTATGACTTTTTTTTAAAAGATTTTATTTATTTATTTGAGAGAGAGAATGAGAGAGAGAGAGCATGAGAGGGGGGAGGGTCAGAGGGAGAAGCAGACTCCCTGCTGAGAAGGAAGCCTGATGTGGGACTCGATCCCGGGACTCCAGGATCATGACCTGAGCCGAAGGCAGTCGCTTAACCAACTGAGCCACCCAGGTGCCCTCCTTATGACTTTCTTAATAACATTTTTTCTCAAGCCTACTTTATTGTAAGAATACAGTATGCAATACATATAAAATATAAAATGTTTTGATCAACTGTTTATAAGTAAGGCTTCAATCAATAGTAGACTATTAGTAGTTACATTTTGGGTGGGGGAGTCGAAAGTTATACATGGATTTTCAACTGCGTGGGAGGTCAGTACCCTTTACTACATGGTGTTCAAGGGTCTACTATATGATAATTGAACAGAAGAATTCAGTGGAGAGTTTCAAAAGTAGACTTATCCATACAGAAGGAAGAATCAGTGACCTAGAGGATAGGACATTAGAAATTATCCAGTCAGAGAAGCAAAAAGCGAAAAGAGCGAAGAAAGCCTATGGCAAAATGGAACATATTGAAAAGAAACAATGTTAGTATAATAAGAATTCCAGATCAGAATCAAAGGGACAGAAAGTATATTTAAGGCAACAATGGCTGAAAACTTCTCAAACCTGGTGAGAGAAAAGAACATCCTGATCCATGAGATCTAAAGGAATTCATATAGGTTGAACCCAGGTAGCACTATAAGACATAATT